AAGACACCCAAAGCTGCCAGGTATCACGGGGCAAAGCACAGGCTGGCACGGCTGAGGTGGCCGTGGGGGCTGTCACGGCTGTCTGGGCAGAGGTGGCAGCTGATGGCATCAAAAGCAGGATGAGCCAAGAGGTGAGGTGGCACAGGTCCAGGAAGGAGGATGTGAGTCACTTGTGCTTTGTGCAGGAGGAGGATGCTGAGGTGGGGGATGCTCCCCGGGCTGCTGGCTGGGCCCTGGGGGCTACAGCAAAAACTGGGAGGAGGGCAGCAGGTCCCTGCAGGTAGAGATGGAGAAACAGTGGCATCGTGCTGGCAATGACCTCTTCCCCTTTGCATAGCCAGATGGAAACCCTGGTGCTCCCCTCCTCTCCCCTGTGCCCCCAGGACCCACAGAGCTGAGCAGGGCTGGACTCTGCTGTTGGCAGCAAACGACTCTGAAACGGGTTCTTAGTGGGTTAGCAATACACGCTGTGCTGCAAGCGTCTGTTTGGCAGTGAAAGCATTAGAAAGGCTTGATGCTACTGGAATCAAACCCCTTCCCTTCCTTTGGGTAGGGGGAAAACAAAAGATCAGAGTGTGCATCACAGATCCCATAACCTTTGATGTCACGGTGTGCGGTTGGGTGGCACAGGGGGTTAACCCAGTGCTGGGTGTTTGTCGGGGCCCTGGGATCAAAACTTCAGCTCACTTCAGTGATGAGTTGTCAGGTCTCTGAACAGCTATGCGCTTTGCTGTTGGTGCAAACATCCTCACGGGGCCAGGTCCCTGCACCTTGGCCCCGGCTTTATAGGAAGAAACTGCTCATGGCTCCCACATTTCTCCTTTCATAGAGATTATAACCTCTTTGGTTGGGGCTTGTCCAGGTAAGCTCCCCAGGCAAGAGCATCCAAGCTCAACATCTGCTTGGTGATTGCCAAACTTCTGTCTAAACATGCTGAAGAAAAGTGTCTTTAGGTCAGCAAAGGAACATCAAAGAACAACCCACAATCTAGCTGGCCCTGCTGCATCTCCCATCCATACATCCCATCCTAACTCATTATTAAATCATATTTGCTGATAAGTATGAGATGTAATATCTATTACACAGCTGTTAAACCTCAATTAATATGTTTTAATGATCACTCGTTTACTGCGCAGTATACAATTAACATCCAGTATTAGATCTTAAATTAAATGCATGTTTGGGAAGCTAAATTTGAAGCACTGAACATAGCTTGTATGCAGTAAACAGTGATAATTGTGATGAATAGACGGTATGGCTGTGCCCGAGAGAGGGTTAAACCAACACTCCTGTCACCAGAGAGGAATGGAGAAGAATCGCTAAAGTAGCTGGGTTCTACTTTTTCAGTGTATTTTGATCCCGACTGAGGTTTTAATTCATCTCCCTTGAAAAAAGCACCCAGTTGCATAGCTGCTGCAGCCTTGGCAGGGTAGCGGCTCCGGGGGGTCTGTTCTGGGCAGGGAAGGGCTGGGCAGGAGCGCGGGGCAATGACTCGTGCTCCAGGCTGGGTCAGGCTGTCCTGAGTCCTGAGGGCTGTGCAAGGGGGTCCAGTGGTGCAGCTGGGACCCCAGACTGCAACATTAAATCGGAGATAAGGCTCCCATTGCGTGCTGGAAGAGAAACCCTCACTGTGCCCTGGGTTTGGGGCCATGCAGGAATGGAAATGGAGCTCTCGGTGTTCTCCGTGGGGAGCAGCATGTTTGGGCGATGTGCTGCAGAACGCTCGGGTGGCAGCCAGGGAGCAGTGTCGAGGGGTGCAGGGGCCCACGGGTGGCTTTTGCAGCTCTGAGGTTTGTTTTTTTTTTAAATTCATATTAAAGATGGGGCCTGAAGGGCACCCCCTGGTCGCTGGCACGGCTGCTGTATTTGCTCTGAGAAGCAAGTCCGCGTTGTGGGGTGGGATGCTGAAGGACTCAGCCTGTTCTCAGCGTGGTGCTGCCTTGTTAACACAGTGTCCACCTTTCCCATGAAAAATGCGCCTGAATGAAGGTGAAGAAAAATCTTATTCTTTTCCTTTTTCTTTTCTCACACTTGGGGGAGCAAATGAGGATTGATATGGTTTTCTCCTGGTGTTCCAGTTTATGCAGTGATGCATCTTAGGAGGCAATGAAGACTTCAGCCCCCATCTTTTCTCTGAGGACCCCATCTCTCACCCCATCGCTTTGCTATAGCAGACACAACCTTTGCATAGATTTGGAGACAGAGTGGTGCTGCTCTTGCAGCCGGCAGGCAGCCCACAGACATAAGGATTTCCAGCATCTTGCATTGTTTTCTATTCACCTGCTGCACTCCAAAGCTTCCTATGAGGTTTGTTGGGTCTATTTTTGGGAGATCTTTCTGCCATTCTTTGGAGGGTTTTATTTTTATTTTTTTTTCTGGCAAATCAGTTCTTTATTCTCTCTTTGGAAATGGAAAGAAAAACACACACAAGGCTGGTTACCACTCTGAATTGCATGTGGTCTCCCTCCCGGATTTCCACATCTTCTTGTCTGGAGTTGATGAGGGTGAACCCGAAGGTTTTGTGCCAGGATTCTGCACAGCTTCAATGAGTTCCCAGCTGACCTTCCTCAGAGGTTATCTCTGAAGGAGAGAAGGGGACAAATAGATTCAAGGTTTGGGAAACAACATCATTTGGAAGAGGACACATCGGTGTTTTGGTGGTGGACTGCCATAAATGCTGATGAGGAAAAGCAGCCCCCCCTAACGAGGGACCCCAGCACCCGATCCAGTCCTGACTCGGTGGTGGGTACTGGGGATGGAGGGGGTGGGGGAAAGCTGGTGATTTCCTTTGGGATGTGGTCAGGCAGTGATCTATCAGACCAGCTGAGCATCTGGGTTCTTTTTCAAGGGGGAATGGATGCAAATGCTCCTGGCTGTGAGCTTTGGCTGCCCCAGCTTGGCATGAGGATTGGATCCCAGAACGTGCTGTTCCTGCTGGGATCTGCTTCCCACGGGCAAAAACTTGCATTTAAGGGAATATCCCGCATCTCCTCTTGGGTGGTCCAGGCAGGGTTTAAAAGCCGTGTCCTTCACAGAGCCAGGGAGCTGCATTTCTGCTGAACACAGGGACCTGCAGC